ATGAACAACTTTTCTCTAATTTGCTTTATCACCAGACTTGGTTTTTCAAAACACTGAGGGAAACAGGAAAAATGGAAGTGAGATTGAGCCTTCCAATTCCACTGTTACAAAACCTTCTTTTTCCCTTTTGCTCTACCCTAAAGGTGTTTGCCTAAAATATAGTTTCTTTATGTATTCCCATGCCTTGCTTCATTATTTTTCCTAAGGTGGATAACCAGAAGATGACTGTCATCTTAATAAGCAAATCTTTTAGAAATTAAACAGGAACTACAGATCTGAATGACTGCTTTCAGTCATTTGGATGTCACGTTAGTTTCAGTTCACCATGGATCTTCTTAATTGATGATTTCATGTACTGGATCAACCAGGTCAAATGATTACTGCAGTCACATTAAGTCAGCGTTTTTCCTTTTTTAAAACCATTTTAGCCGAGCAAAGGTCCCAGCTATTAAAAATTACACAAGGACGTCAAAGCTTGATAGGCCAGCTTTACCACTATCAAAACAAAGAACAGAAAATGTATTTTTAATAACACTGTACAACTACCAGGCTAAGGAACAACTGTTATTATAATTTCTAGATCACATTGCTTTTAGCTGACACTTATAGTCATTTATACTAAATCTATTGTTGTAATTAAATTGCTTGGTAGGTGCTTATGACCATCAGGACAGTGCACTACTGGCCAATATAAAGATGTTAAACTATCAGCATTTCAGTGATTATAAAGTGTTTTTTGTAACACGGATATGATTAATGACTAACTTTTTAAATCTGGGTTTCATTGCCAAGACTGAAGTGTTCTTAATAATAACATTTACAATGTTCGTAGATGCTCTTGCTTCGGCACATCAACATTTGGCCAGTGATAAGGGAGATGTAATGCATTGCACAATAAAATCTCACACATGCTCCAAACATTCCACATTTCAATAAATGTGAAAGCAGCGATTCCATTCCATGCAGGTAAAGTTGCACTAAATTTTGTTCTTTGTTAAAGCTAGAAATTCTGCTGTAGACACAAGATAAATTACAAATTCATTTTGCTTTTGACTAGAAAAGTCTTGAATCAACTGTTAGCCCTTTTCAGATTAGAGTATATCCTTGTCTCACCGAGTGTGAGGCAGCTGCTCACAATCATGTGATTTTGAGGAGTGGTCCTAATACTGTGACCTGGATTTCAAAGGGAAATCATTTTAAAATAGTGTGGCATAAGGTTGCTTTTCATTTTAGGCAACCCAATTTATTAGCGTTACTCATGTTGTCACTGAGTCTTGGCAAGTTTCCTTGTAAGAGCAAAATTCTGAGATAGTATTGTGGAAGTAGCCTTTAAAATGGCTTAAAAATCATGTGACAATAAAATCCCAAGTTCCACAATTGGTTTTAATCATTTAAGATGTTTTAAATATCTACGTTTCTTGTTCAGAATCACACTTTTGTATATTAAATTTTGAGAAAAGTTCAGGTTTTCAAAAAAAAGTGCTAAAGGTTCAACAGCTGTCGTTAATGGCTGAATCAACAAATATGAATTATGATTTATTAAATGGAAAACCAAGCAGATCTTAGTGAAATTGTGGGCTGAGGTTAACGATTTTTTTAAAATGGGCTATGGCTTTGATCACTGGAGACAGGTTTCCCCTTTCAGTCTGTGCAGGGAGAAAACAGGTGAACTATTTGCTTTAATTTTCACCTGACTACCTCAAAATTATTGCATCTACTGCAGAATTTTAGCACAAAAGCATTTGAGTATTAACTTCTGAATGGAGTAAAGTAAGAAGCAGTCAGGAAGAGGCATGCTTGTCGCTTACTTAAATCCCCATCCAGTCCCCCCTAGGACAATGGCTGCCACCAGGATGGCGCCTGCGATGGACCCTATAATGATATTGGTACCACTAGGACCTGTGACAGAGGGGAGGGGGAACGAAACCATGGGAATACAAATGTCAGAATCAAAGCACAAACTTATCAGTGAGACATCTCTACTACATCGCATGTCTTGCTTACTGGAGGCCCGGATGTTTGCATTATATTATGCGTCCTACTTTGTCACCAAACTTTTCTTTGGAAGACTGTGGAAAAAGAAGCACAAATGTTTAAGCTCAATAATACTGTGCCCAAATGAAAATCTTGTGGACATATGAAGAGAAACATGAATAAAGACCACTGGGCTCATCATCATTCTCTCTAATGGTTTCATTTGTGCACTACATTCTGTTTAATACTAATGTTAACCCTGGGTTGTATAGCAAGGAAGACAATATTTATGGTAATTTTACAGAATAGCTCCCAGACTCATTACAACATGATATTTATATTTGGGCATAATTTATCTACCCTCCCTTTTCCTGTTATGCCCCATGTCACTTGGAACTGTATGACAGGACTAATAAAGGTCACCAAATTCCTTTCAGTCGTTCCCAAAAACCAAACAGTATGATGGTTAAATCTGGTCATTTGAATTAAACATCAGTGAATAGTCAGTTCACTTCAGACTGCCTGATGTGAAACTATTGTCCAAGCTGATACTATCCCTTTTATACCCCTAACCTGTAACAATTCAATCACCCTCTCTACCAAAAGATATCCATCCCTTTCTTATAATTTCATATCATAGAATTATAGAATCCCTACAGTGTGGAAACAGGCCCTTCAGCCCAACAAATCCACAACGACCCTCAGCGCATCCCAACCAGACCCATCCCACTGTAACCCACCTAATCTACACATCCCTGAACACTATGGGCAATTTAGCATGGCCAATGCACCTTGCCTGCACATCTTTGGACTGTGGGAGGAAACCAGTGCACCCGGAGGAAATCCACGCAGACACAGGGAGAACGTGCAAACTCACCCAAGGGCGAAATCAAACCCAGGTCCCTGGCACTGTGAGGCAGCAGTGCTAACCACTGAACCACCGTACCGCCCATAATTTGTAACCAGTTGATTAGTTACTGGAATGCCTACTCCTGCACGAGTGTCTGCATGTCCTTACATGATGAGTTTTGTTTAACCTTATCTTTTTGTTCATCCTCTTCGGAAACAACTGTCTGATGCCGAGAGTAGATCATTGATGCTGGTTGTGTTTCCGTATCCCTAGTGGCCATCTTTCATCTTTAAACCTGAACAGTGAGCAATACAAGGCATTTCTGGCTAGAAACATCCCTGTTTTCTCTCAACCTCTGTATAAACAGCACAATCTGTCCTGCAGACTCACTGATTGCTCCCCTTCCCATCCCAAAAGATCATATAAGATACATCCTTGCTCTCTCTCACATGCAGGCTTCTTGCCTCTAAACACTGTAAAGATCACTCAGATATGAAAATACAATTCCATGCGCAAACTGTCTGTCCTAGTAACTAGAATTCATCCTGTGGAGGGAATGAAATGCTAAATAATGGAGAGATCCTGTTAGCCATTTAATGCTAAATCATAATTAAAGCAAACATTATAACATAGTGGGACCTGCAAACATACGCAGATCTTTATACAAGAAAAATGCTCATACCAGTTATCAAAATGAAGCATGATGGAAGTATAAAACTGTAAGGTAAAGTTGAAGAGATCTACTGTTCATTAGAGATTACCACTGTAGTGCCCATTTAAAATATTTAATATTGTCCTCTTCTTGTGTGGCTAGTTCTTGTAAATATTTGAGTAAAAATGTTGCGATAATTACAAATTGATATTTGCATTCTCTTGTCTTACATTTGCAGATTAGTTAAAAAAATTACCTAGGTGAAATCATTTAATATTTAAAATACCTTCGGTAAGGCACATCATGAACAAATTCCTTCTAGACTGCAAGTCTCAAGTTTCTCTGAACTTCCTATATAGCTCAACAACTTTACACTTGGCATTCTGGGCCTCTTTCCTGTACCTTGTCTAATGTATTCTAGCAACCAGGTCCCAATGCAAAAGTGCAAGTAAATTCTGATCTGTGCTGAATCTTAAAATCATTGAATCCCCACAGTGTGGAAGCAGGCTATTCAGTCCATCAGGTCCACACTGACCCTCCAAAGAGCATCCCACCCAGACCCACCCCTCCTACCCTATCCCTGCGTTTCCTGCACATCTTTGGACTTTGGGAGGAAACCTGAGCACCCGGCGGAGACTTGCACAGACACAGGGAGAATGTGCAAACTCCACACAGTCACCCAAGGGTAGAATTGAACCCGGATCCCTGGTACGGTGAGAGAGCAGTGCTAACCACTGAGCCACCGTACCACCTCCTAATCTTTGGAAGTTTTGACTTCATACTTCCAGTGTGGAGCTTTGGTTCAGGCAGCAGCTAAAGGAACTTTGGCCATTACCTGCTAATGATTTCCTGATGGATGGTGCCATTGAGCAGCTCTATTAGAAGAGTAAACTCGAAAGGTTATTTAATTATGTTCTGGTATTCTGATTACATGTTCGAGCATTCGGTTTCCTTAAATGTTTTGCAGTGTCGTTGTGCATTAAGAATGATTTGTCCACAGTTATGAGCCATACTACTTTCCAAGTCTCTATCTTCCAACTTGATTACATTAATTGTTTACTCTTGAAGCACTATTCTAAGCAATGCACTTAATTTTTTATTTAACTTTTGTGAATTTCATTTCTCTGCTAAAACCAAGTTAACGAGTCAATTTCTTCAAGAATATGAACAAACAATTTTACCGAGGACAGGGTCAGTTATTTCCAAATCTGTGCTGACCCAAAAATGAACTTCTTCTTTGTCGAAGACAACAGGATTTTCAGTTACAGAATTGGACAAATGGTTTTTAAGAAGCACATCGATGTTCCTGCATAATATTAGCACCATTTTGATCCAAGTTGAAAATTCCCCATCACAACATTTCTTTAGCCACTGCTGCAATTTATTGTAAAGGCTTTACAAAGTGAAGTGGAGATCCTTGTGCTGTCCACAAACACAATTACGCCCTGCTTTTCACACAATTTATTTCAAACATCAAATGGATATACATCAGTTAAGAGATCAACACAAAGGATGGATACAAACCCTTGTACTGTCCATCAGTACTCCCTGCTGGAGTTGGTTCCAAGTATGGGTCAAAGACGCTGCAGTCTTTCCCCGTCCAGTCACGGACACATATACATTTTGCCTCATTACTGCACACCTGAAAGTAGAATACAAGCATACAGTAAATGCCTGTTCCATTTGAGAAACCACTTCACCACCTCACTGGATCACATCTCAAAGCAGCAACCAATTCATCTTGCCAGTAGTTCATTTTATAAACCTTTGTGAAATATATATATTTTTAATTACTTTTATAATCAGTTTGAGACCAAAATTTTGAACACACATGCAAAAATTTAAGACTAAAAGTTATAAATAAAATGTCTTTTAATTCATCACAAACCTGCATTAAAAACGAGAATGTAAAATTTCTCAGATTAAAGCAGATGTGGTTATGATGGATTAGCGTGCAACAATTTGATGTGTTAACAAATAGTTCTAAGTCCCAGCTGGCATTATAAGGAGCACAACCTCCATCTGGCCCCCTGTATTTATTGGTGTAGATGCTCAGTGGCTACCTACACTGGGAGTTCCCACTTACTTGGTGCACAGTAGGACTAGGAGTATGTCTGAATACTGTCATATGAAAGGTACCACTGTGGGAAGTGGCTGGAACTTGAAAGGTGAGGGTGATTATTTTGAAACATAAGAATTTTTCTATTGTGCTAACACTCCTCAGCCCTAGCCTTGTTAAACAGATTTCGAGAAAAGTAGTTAGTGCCATCACCAACTAGTCCAATGGAACGAGTGTGTTGGGTTTTCTGGTAGCTTGGGACCACAGGAGGCAGATTTTTTGGTCCCTCATATTGGCCTTTGGCTGAGGCGAGGGAAGGGATTGAGGAGAAGTTGCAGGCACTCAACACTGGAATCAAAGCCAGAAGTGAGACCTCTGCCCTTGGAGTTTAGATTCTTTAGGGACATATGAATTAGGAGCAGAAGTAGGCCATTCAGCTCTCAAGCCCACTCCACCTTTCAAATAAGATCACAGCTGATCTTTGCATATTTCCATCTACCCCCCAAATAACCTTGATTCTGCTGCCTAACAAGAATGACCAATCTGTGCTTTAAAAGTAATGAACGACCCTGCCTCCTCCACTTTCCGAGACAGAAGATTTCAAAGTTGCACAACTCCCTGAGAAAACAAAAGCTCTCCTCATCTTTGCCCTAAAAGGGTGACCCCTAATTTTAAAACAGTGCTTGCCGGTTGTAGACTCATGTACAAGACGAAACGTCTTTTTCCTCATCTACCTTGTCAAGACTGTTCGGGACCTTATATACTTCTATCAAATCACACTTCACCCTTCTAAACTCCAATGGAGACTATCTAAGCCTGCCAATGTTGACCCATAAGATAGCCCACTCTAGGCAACAATCCAGCAAACCTCCTGTGAACCATCTCCAATGCATATACATCCTTCCTTTAGTAAGGAGACCAAAACTGCACATAGTATTCAATGAGGTCTCATCAATGCCCTTTATAACTGAAGTATATATAATTACTTTTACATCCAATTCCTCTGATAATAAAGGGTAGCATCCATTAGCTTTCTTAATCCCTTGCTGTACCTGCATTCTAGCTTTCTGTGACTCCTGCAGTAGAACACCAAGATCTTTTGGCTCTTCAGATTTCTACATTCGTTCTCCATTTAATTTCAACTCGGCTTTTTTATTCTTCCTGCTGAACGACTTCACTGTTTTAGACAGTATACTGTCTCTGCCAGATTGTTGTCCACTTACTCAAACTATGTCCATCTTTTCTTATGTGTATTATGCAAGCTTCACAACCATGCCTGCACTTTCTTCATTTGGGTCAATATTCTGCACAAAATGTTTAGTCATAGTGTCTCAGCTATCACAGGCTTCATGTGCAGCTGGTTTTTTTCTTGTCTAGCCCTTGCTCTACATTTGTGTAATATGAGCAAGCAGTCCCACACTTCCTGCTTTGCACACAGATTGGCCATCACAAACACTATATGTTGAAAATTTCAGTCAATTTGGGTACAGATATTTAGTCTACTCATGACTTATGGAGATTTTCACATTCTGCAAACATGCAACATTTCAGCAAAAGTGTCAACACTCTGAATTGTTTGAAATACCAATGAACTCACCCCATGGTTAAAGCAAACTTCTCCACTTGAGCTCTGTGGACAGGTGCTCAGGTTGAAGGCTTGTATTGGTAGGCATTTGCGATCGAGGCACATCATTTTGGGTCCACAGGCAGTGCCATCTTCTACATAACCAAGACTGGTCCTGTCATCCAGTATAACATGGCCTCCCCTGAGAACACGTAATCGCACTTTAACCCTGTCAATGTTGAATCTAATCAACACCACATAATGCTACTTTCCCCTTCTAATTACTGCATATCCAATGACGACTTCAGAAAACTCCCTGCCATATTTTTTCCTCCTCCCCTGAATGTCTGGGATTGAATGTTATGGCTTAATTACACCTTTCCTCATAAAAAGTCCAACTTTCATGTTTGATTCCAAGTAATGCATTTCAGCAGACTATAAACCAAATAAAGCATGACATCTGAATTGCTCCAGTTCAGGTTGTCTATAAAGCTGTATTTCATAAGGTTTATTTGCTGAAGAATAATCACAACTGGAAATTTAGACATCACCTCCTGGCTCCCCAGGCCTGTCCACAATCTATAAAGCACAAGTCAGGAGTGTGAAGTGTTACTCTCCACTTGCCTGGTTGGGTGTACCTCCAACACTACTCAAAAAAAATTGACACCATCCAAGCCAAAGCAGCTTCTTGACTGGCATCCCATCCATCACTTTTAAAGCTCACTCCCTCCATCACTGATACTCAGTAGTAGCAGTGTATACCATCTATAAGATCCACTGCACCTTTAACTGCAACTTGCAAACCCGCAACCTCTACAAGCCTGAAGGACAAGCGTAGCAGATGTGAAGGAAGACCATCATTTGCAAGTTGCCTCCGAGTCACACACCATCCTGACCTGGAACTCTATTACCATTCCTTCGCTGTTGCTAGGTTAAAGTCTTGCCCTAAACCAAACAGACTTCAGGTGTTCAAGCAGGTGGTTCACTAGCATGTTCTCAAGGGCAATCAGGGATGGACAATGAATTCTAGACTCACAAATGGCACTCTAATCCCTAAATGAAAAAATAATCTTTAAACCCAGGCACATGGGACAATGAGGCACTGCACTGGTTGAGTGACGTGGGTGAGACATAAAAGCCAGAAGCATTCCATGCGTGGTGAACCTTCTCAATTCCCCAATCAGCTAAACCACTGCAAGAAAACAACCGAAGTTAAACAGTATTAAGCTGATACTCCAGCAGCAAGCATCAAACTGTCAAACTAATTTGCGAAATGTGATGATACTATGGCTTTAAGAGGTATATATTGTCCTGGTATGTGGTATGAAGAAAGATTGAGATAGAGGTGATAAGCTATCTGCTCAAATCCAATAAAGTAAAACAGCTTGTGAGGTCTTGGGGCATTTTTTTTTTTTTTTTTTTAAAAAGAGTTGGAACCATAGAAACAGCCTGAACGGGTGGGGTCAAGCTCCCACAGAACCAGGATTTTTAGTTTTAGCTTTCAGCAGTTGTTGGGGTTTTGAAGCTGGATGTGGAAGCTCAGATTCCTTTCTTCGTTATTGCTAAAAGCTGAGGTTCTCCTCCTGCTGCTAGAATTGTATATGAGAAAATCTATTTGACTGAATTTGCCTTTGCCAAGGGTGCGTTTATGGGATGTTACTGTATTGGAACAATTAATTAGTTGTAGTTTATATATACATTATTTTGTTAAGCTTTTCAACAGAGTTACAGTTAAGCCAATTCTTTTCTTTACATTTAATTTTGTCTGTATTTTAACTCTATGCAGTATAAAAACAAAATATGTTTTGCTCAAAGTCGAATAATTTGACCAATCAAATTACATCTGGAATGCAATGCCTTATACTTACCTTTAAAATAAGAAAACGTTAGGGTCTATGCTATCTTCTTAATATATTTTGACATGATTTGGTCTGGTCCATAACAGGAAACAGAAAGTCATTTTGGTCTAATTATATTTGAAAAGCTTCAGCGTGGAACAAAGCAAATTTTCAACAAGAATATTGATTTAATTTGAATGAACCATTAAATCAATAGTTTATTTAAATTATAAACATTATATAACAAACTATTGTCTCCAATCAATTTAAAGTTTCTTGAGACAATTTTTCTTTTCTACTTGGTTTTAACTATAAACAACTGGAAAAGAAGAATAACACCATGTGCAAGCTTTCCACGTGCCACAATGTGCAGTAAGATTCCATAGTTTATAATAATACCATAGGCAGCAAATCAAAACCTTTACGGTCACTTATAGTAATAATCTTTTAACACTGGTTGAGAAGTGCTTCTGGAAAATATATCAGGACTTCCTTTGAGTCTTGGAAGATTAAACTTCACAGACCTTACTCAGTTACTGTATCTCAAAATAATTTAATTTCACATTTGGTACTGTTGTTTCACCTGAGCACTTGTTACAAAACTCAATGGAATTGGATTGTTACCTGCAATCTATGTATTTGTTCTGATGGTATAATACCATGCTAGTAATGTCTCCACTGAGGTCCCCACGTCTTGGCGGCTGAGTGATATTGGAACAAAAAAGATAACCACAAAGAACATCCCTACAAAAAACAGGGAAAATTCAGTTACTAACATTTGAAAGAAATTCCAATTAAAATTCAAGGCAACGTCTTCAGCCAGTGACAAATCGTGCACAAGCGTGTTATTCTAAATTATTGTATTCATTACTCAAGTTCATTATATGATTGTACAATAGCAGAAAACATCCTAATATCAAACAAATGGTACTTACTGTCTAAAAAAAAATTGTAAAAGCAAAATAAAAACCAAATGTAGCTCTCAATTCACAGAGGACTTGGGAAACAGCATTCCATGAATTCTGTCATTTTGAACAAGAAAGCTAAGGGATGGTCTCAATAAACCCTTGCTGGAAAGTTGCTCTGTGCAGTTGTCAGATTTTATTATAATCAAACTCCCTCCTAATAAATGATGGCTCAAATCTTTGCTGGTTGCAGGGCATCTGGCAATGTGCACTAGTGGATTTTCTCAGCTCCATGTTTTTTTTCCCCTGAAAGCATGAACTGATAGTGGCATGGCAAGGGCAAGAGGTCATCCTGGGCCTCAGTGAGAAACTTAACAGTGTACTTTCTTAATCAATGGCATTTCAGGAGTGAGATGGAAACAGAGGAACAACTTAGAAGTTAGGCAATCACAGTCAAATCAAGAACAGAAAGAGAAGTAAAAAGAGGGAAGGCAAGATTGGATTAGGAGAGAGAAGAAAAGGTAAAGGACGGAAAATTTTTTTTAAAAAGTCACCTTCGACATTTTGAAATATTATCAAGCATGCAGGAATAAAAATCGTTCCTTTCTCTGTTACAAATTGGTTAGAAATGTGTTAAGGTTATCATGTCATTAAAAAGGCAATTGTACTGTTTAGTAGTAGCACCAATACATTTAATTTACAAATCTAGCAATTTCTTAATAATACTAGACAAGTTACCAATTCCTCAAGGTAAATGGCAGAGTGGTCCAAAATGACCAGCAGCTTATGTTTACTCACAACTCTATTTTTTGCTTGAACTTGTCATCTGATTCTTACATGACTAACAATGTGTCTTGGTAATTCACCGTCATGTTTACAATATGCTCTGGACTAAATGTGTACTTGCATTATGTGCTAGAAAGAAAATTGGAACCTCTATCATCACTAGTCATAATCCTGAATAATAACATCTATGTAAAATTTATGATGCAATCCTCTAATTATATTCAATATTTCAACTGAGCAAGCCAGCATTCTATGACTGGTAAGATTTATAGAAGGTAGTTCTAAGAGTTATACAAAGCAACAATCAATTCTGTTTGATAACAGGGGAGGATCTAATTACAAGCTTTTAAAACGATTATTGAGGACAGCTAAAGAGGATTTCAAAGGTTTTGATGAGACTGCTGGAGCAAGATTCCAAAGGACTGACTTAAAATCAATTCCTTACAATGAAGGCAACAGACAAAAGATAGATCAAATAATTTTTATTGAGAATAATAGTTTTGGGACCATCCATTGTTTGGTTGGTCATTATTTGGGGTAAACAGGGATCTTTTCTACACCCTTTCTCAGGAGCTGGAGTGGAATGATGTTAAGATGGAATCACTTGAAGAATCTGAAGTGGCTGCTGAGATTGGATGCATTTGTTAGACTTTTCTTCCTCAGAATTCATAAGCACAAACATGAGTGCGCAAGAAGAAAAGGAAATACAAACTGAACAAAAATGATGCATAATTGTCTGCTGCAACTCACTGAGATTGGCTAAATAGCAGCTACTTACTGCTTACTGCATTGAAGCCAGCTTTGGCCATCTTTGCCGCAGTTTCCCTTCTCGGTTCCTTCAACATTCAGCTTTTCATAACAGAATTGATCTGCTGAATCTTAAAGAGATAGAAACGTTTTGCTTTCAGGGAGTTTTCCAAATTTAACTTCAAAATGTAGAGGAAGGAAAGAGAAAGAGGGAGACAGACAAATGGTACAGCATGTGAGAGTTGCACGTGACATCATGCCCACCTCACATTATTGCTCAGGAAGCTGGGCGCAGGGTGCTGAGGCCATGGCAGAGTTAGAAAATCAGGCCAAAGCCATGGTTACAAATGTATTCCTGACTCAATCCCAACATCCTCACTGCACACAGACCTGTTTGGAGAAAATGGCCACCCAATGTGGTAGGTGTTAATATACAAATATCTCCTGCTTTCTCCAAGTTAGGTGATATCTTGCATGACTGCTTCACAAGACTCAAAGATTCTAAATGATAACATTAGATCTTAAAAATACATTGTAAGCATAATTGCTAAATTATGACATCAATTACAATGATCTGTTTTATGAATACATTATATTCATTTGCTTTAATTTGTTTAAAATTAAAGTGTCTCACCAAGATTTTATTGGGTTCAATATCTTTAAACCATTGGAATTGACTTGAGTGATTCCTGGGCTGAGGGGCGTTATCATACGAAGAAAGGTAACGTAGGATGGACAACGAGATGTAATTTATTGAACAGTTTAAGATGCTGAGGGGACTCAACAGGGTAGATGTTAAAAAGAGGTTTTTCTTGTGGGAGAAACTAGAACTAGAGGGCACTGTTTACAAAATAATTCGAGATGAAGAGAAAGTCACTCTTTCTGGGTTGCGAGTCTGTGGAATTCTCTTCCCAGAGAGAGGTGCAGGCAGGGTCACCGAATATTTTTAAGGCACAGCTTCATAGATTCTTGATGGATAAGAGACTCAAAGGGTATTGGGGTCAGGCAGGAAACTTGAGTTGAGGGAACAGTCAGATGACTGTGGATCTAATCAGATGGTGGAACTAACTTGTGGGGACAACTGGCCTATTCCTATGACTGTCTGTACGAGAATGATTACTTACCGCGACCCCAGATGTAATTGCACTGTTTGTCTCTAGTTTGGCATCTTCCACCATAACAACGCCCCTACAAACAGAAGCGTAAAACTTTAATGCAATTTACTACAGCATAAATATAGGATAGCTACAGGCAGTTAACAAGAAAGCTGTGGCAGGAAAAGTGTGGAACAGTGCCTGTCTGCCCAAGTCGTGGCCAAACTAACAAAAATCTCAGTCTTCATTTCTACATTAAGGGCCTATGGAGACCTGATGATTCAATGTTCCTTTGTTGGCAAGGAGCCTTTGTGGTGATGCTTCCTAAAAGAATTTCAGTGAATGATTCCATTAGGAATCTTAAAGCTGTTTGTTCGATCAGTCTAAATGGTATTCAGGAAGACTCCAGGTCTGTGTAAATTTGGCATTAGATGAATTCACAGCAGTAACCCAATTTGTTTTATTCCATCCCAGGCATTTCACGGTTGGTATCTAGCACCAGAGTGGGCACCAATTACAACTTGTTGAGCATGTAAAGTGATGACAACATCAACTGAATGTTACGCGACTACCAAAAACGTCACTGGAATCAAACTACATCTGAGTGGGTTTTTCTTAAATTCACCCATCAAATTATCCAGTAATGGGAACTAATTAAAGGGTGTTGGCTGACATCAGTTCTTACCCGACGTGACAATTGAGGATCAGCCATTTTATATATTCAGGACAGTAATCAACAGATTTCTTGATTTAAAGATATCAAGGGATATGGAGGTAGTAAATTAAAATAGCGTTGAAGTAGAAGTTTGGCCATGGTATAGTCAAATGGAAGAGCAGACCCGAAGGGCTGAATGGCCTACTCCTGCACCTACTTCCTATTCTATTATGTAGTTGCACAACATTTGCAATTTAAAGATGCCATCACTATGGGTGTTGGTTTAAGTTGTGTCATTGTTAAGGATTGATAGTCTACCGGAGGAAAGGCTGTTGGCAAACTTTACCTGAAACATTTTTCTAATTATATATGCAACAAGGGTTAGCACAAGGATTTCCCTCGAACTATTCCTCCCCAGATTCCTGTGGAATGAGATCTTAATCACCAATGACTTAGACTGCTTTTTACACATAACCCCTTACATTACAGCTATGGAGTGAATTTTTCTGGGTTACAGAGATGGGCTTGTGCTAAAAATGGCATTGCCAACCAGTCTGCCAGTTCCTGGCTCCATCCAGTGGCAGGGGGTGGCATGGGGAGGTGGCCAGGCTTCCTGTCCACACAATTGACCCTGTCGTTGGTTACTTAAGGCCAGTTTTCCAGTCAGCCTCCACATTCCCACAGATGGTGAGAGTCAATGTAGTGCCTGGAAATGGATTTTCTTTTTTTAGAATCCCTACGGTGTGGAAGCAGGCCATTTCGCCCATCAAGTCCACACTGCCCTCCTGAACAGCATCCCATCTCACCCTATACCTGCATTTCCCAAGGTCAATCCACCTAACCTGCACATCTTTGGACTGTGGGAGGAAACCAGAGCAGCTGAAGGAAACCCACGCAGACACCAGGAGAATGTGCAAACTCCATACAGATAGTCATCCAAGGCTGGAATCGAACCTGGGTCTCTGGCGCGGTAAGACAGCAGTGGTGACCACAGAGCCAGCATGCCACCCCAACATGATTCCCCACTGTGTATTAGGTGTTAGGTCCCATTGGCAGGTTCAGAGATCCCTACCCGGCTGAGGTGAGTTGTAGCTGCAGGTCACCTTTGTTTCCCGCCCAACAATGGCAGCTCAGCCAATTTTAACAAGTTTGAGAGAGGGCCCTTACATTTTGGAGGGCTTGCTCCCTCCCGTTCCACCTGTTTTCCTGCCATGACAACTTGCGGCTGTTTCCAAGCTGCAGAGATTCCTATAAGTCCTTCTGGCTTTGAAAGCCCATCCTTAACTAGACAGCAATATGGAAAAGTGATTGATCAGTTTAAGGGAAAATCACATCAGGTTATTTTTTCCTGTATACTGTGAGCTTGTGAACCCTGTTTAACCCTGATGCTGATCCTAATGCTGCAAGGAGGGGAGGGGACTGGGGGCAGTGGTGGGGACAGTTAGTTGAGTTGCCTGGCTACTGGTTTGTGATGTAGTGTGTTGTCAACAGCGCAGATTCAATTCCCACACCAGCTGAGTTTACCATGAAGGACTCTCTTATTGCTCTCAGTTAGGGTGACAATTGATTTTAATCAACCTGGGCTAGGCAAGGAGGGGAAGAAATCATCAAGTGCATTTTCCATTCCTAATTAATGTCTAGTGTTATCTGTTGAAAAAAGTGTATTGTGGGTACATCAGGCTCATATGTAATGGCTCCTTGAGTCAAATAGCCTGTCAGTACTCACTAGTTAGGTCCACACAAGAGGGATGTCTACTTATGTGGTGTATGTAGGGTGACTGGCACTGATGGAGTTGTGTTCAGCAAAAATTCAACAGCCTCAGAAGGAAATGGATTGGAAACAAATCAATGTAAAAAAGATAGAAAGGACAAGATAAGGACGAAACCACACACTTTTTCCAAGACAAATAATGGAAACAGACTCTTTGGTCCAACCAGTCCATGCCAACCATAATCCCAACTAAACTAGTCCCCACCTGTTTGCGCATAGCCCACATCTCTTCAAATATTTCTTATTCATATATTTGTCCAAATTTCTTGAACATTGTAACTGTACCCACATCCACCACGCCTTCTGGAAGTTCATTCCACACATGAACCACTGTGTGTAAAAACGTTGCCTCTCATGTCTTTTTCAAATCTTTCTTCTCTCGCCTTGAAAATATGTTCCAGTCTTGAAATACCCCACTCTAGGGAAAAGACATCTGCCATTATCTATACCCCTCATGATTTTATAAGCCTCTATAAGGTCACTCCTCAATGTCCTATGCTCCAATGAGAAACGTCCCAATCTACCCAGCCTCTCTTTAAAACTCAAACGCTCCATTCCCAGAAACATCTTGATAAAGCTCTTCTGAACCCTCTCCAGCTTAATTATATCCTTGCTATAACAGGGTGACCAGAACTAGACACAGTAACTCAGGGAAACAACCCAAACAGGGCAGAAAAATTAAAATAAAACCTGGAAGCCCGACCTTACTCCAAAAGAAGTGCCCAGACTTTGGTCTGACTGTAAAGAAAGGATAAAGCACATTACCTGTTCATTGTCACAATAGTAGCCATCCAGTTTGTGCACATTCCCAGGGCACTAGAGGGAGATAAAGTATTTATTCGATTAGACCATATTTTATATTGCTATCAATAGCTGACAGTCTTTCTGAGCTTGTCTTCCTTCATTCATTCATGAGATGTTAAGTTTTTTTTTTGCTATCATAAATTGATCTTGAAATGAGTGACTTGCTCAGCTATTCAGAGTCAACTACATTGTTGAGTCTGGAGTCACATGTAAGCCAGACCAAGTAACGGCAGCAAGTTTCTCTTTAAAGGACATTGGTGAACCAGGTGGGTTTTTACAACAATCTTTGATAGCTTGTCATGGTCAGAGACTAGATTTGTATTTTCAGGGTTAGTAATTAAATTAAAATTCCACCAGCTGCCATGCTGGGATTTGAACATTAGCCTGCACCTCTGCACTACTGGTCCAATGACATTATCAGCTCCACACTTATTTGGACAATTCCTCTTACTCTGCACTGAAAAATAAACAAGTATCAATTCAGTAACAAAAGATACCACTACCCGCGACAGTAATATCCTTATCGCATAGACAATTTAGAAAGGATCCCTTTTACGTATCTGCAAAAATATCATGTGCATGATTTCTTCACATTTCCTCCATCTATCTGAGTGTCCAGTCTTACTAAATTACATAGTATATAGACTACAGAAATACTGCAGAGTATTTCAATGTATACTAAAGGCTCTTGGATATTGTTAATGGTTCTGAAGAAGTTATAAAGGAAGATCTGCAAAATTGAAATAGCAAGAGCTATGGACGCTGGAGTCAGAGATAACAAAGGATGGAGCTGGAGGAACACAGCAGGCCAGGCAGCAACATCAGAGCAGGAAAGCTGACATTTCGGTTTGGGACCCTTTTTCAGAAATGGGTCACAATCACTTCTGAAGAAGGGTCCCGAACCAAAACGTCAACTTTCCTGCTCCGATGATGCTGCCTGGCCTGCTGTGTTCCTCCAGCTCCACACTTTGTTGTCTCTGCAAAATTGAATTTGTTTTTACTGCATACTGATCATATCTTTCAAATATCCAGATGTGACAATGCAAGCAAGCAAAAAGTTAGTGCCTTAAAATTGCTATTTCTCTTCCTCTAAATGGTAGCAGAAGATAAATATTTGGTTGGCAAGTTAACTTGGTTAGACTGATGATCTGCTCAGTCCCTCAGAAAATCTCTTACTTTGCTCAACCTTGCTCCAGTCCAGCTCTACAATCACTTCCAATCTTATTGCCCCTTCAAATTATTTGACTATCGGACTCTGGCCTTTAAAGTATTTGCCCCTGCCACCGCCCAACTGTTGGTGAAATAATCCTCAACTGCCTTGGCTCTCCTTCGTAAAGAGTCCAATAATTCTCTAAGTCTTCTCTCATATTTAAAAATCATCTTAGAATCTGTTTTCTCAATCAAGGTTACAGTCACTTCTCTAGAACTGTCCTACAAGATCTCAATGCATACTTTTTTGTATATTCACCTGCTCACCAACTCCTCTGTGATGTGATCTGCATGTTTGCTCTGTTAAAAACACAACATCATTGCAAGTTGTTGCTGACTCTGCTAATGTTCAAGTAGTGGGCATTTATGGGATCCAATATGTTAAGGTTAAAGCATGGAATGTAACTTGTAAATTATGGAGATTAAAGAACACCAGTACAAACTTTCCGACTCAGCAGAAGCGTGAGAGGGTAAATGATACTTGTTGGGAACAGACTTTATAGGCCTCTTTTGTCTGTTCATGTTGAAATCTAGGTAACAGGAACAAATCAAATTCAACATACTCAAATTTCCCTAACACCGAACATGCACGTAGATCTGTAATATATAATATATATTATATATTGAATAGATCTGCAAATGCTAATGAACTTGCACGTTTAAAGCACTCTAATACATCAGTATAATCGGCAGAGATACTGAAGACCAGTAGTTTACATTTGCAACTTGTTTGCAAAGTGAAGTTATTACTAATAAATACGCTTTCATAACAAGACTAAAAGTTAGGCATTTTACAAAAGGAGTTCTCATAGAACTTGTTTCCCTGACCTCCAATATATCTCACTGTGTTATATTCACACTACTTGATACCAGGATGAATACATGTAAATGTCCATTATAATTACCACTGCCTGTCACATTCGGGTGTTGAATAAACAGGTCTGATGATGCAGTGGTAGTATCCCTATCTTTGACACAAGAGACCGGGTTCAAGTCTCACCTTCTCCATAGGTCTATAACAACATCTCTTAAAAAAAGGTTAATAGTTCTTTATTAAATTAAAGCTAAAGAGCTGATACCAGACACAAATTTTGAAGGGAAAAGGCATTGACAAATCTTTTTTTCTGTTTGCTTACACAGATCATGAGATAAATCACATCTAATGGTATGGGTTGGACATGAAGTGCCTGTAATGAACAAAGAAGAAACTGTCCTACCTGGCTGGAGTCTCCTGGGCATGTCTCTGCAATGTCACAGTCATTCACTGCCTGCCTGCAAATCACACCTCGTGGTTCATACTGGGGAAAGAAGGCACAGTACAGGCTTCACTTCATGCACAGAATACAAGCAATACTGCACTTGGGTTTCCCATTGGTGGATGAACTGGTGTACATTTGGATAAATTCATGAACAGGCAAGATTTGGAGGGATATGGGCCAAGTGCAGGCAGGTGGGACTAGTTTAGTTTGGCAATATGGTTGGCGTGGATTGGTTGGATTGAAGCATCTGTTTCCATGCTGTATGACTCTATGCTTATCAGACATTGATCTCAAATGCTGCTATGCTCAGCATAGACTGAAAATGAATAAAATCTGGGGCTCATTGATGTTGACTGGGGAGCCAAATGATGTGACAGCTGTCTGATGGAACAATATCACATTCGATGGTCTGATTTTCTCATTAAATAGCGGATACTACCAGGAAATATATATTCTGGTGCAAGTAGAATTTTCAGAATGGCTTACCACAAAAATGCAGAAACACAATATCAAGAAAAGAGGTACTTTGCTTTGATCATTGTCTCAGAAGATCAAGATGCTGATCATTTAATTTGAACTATAAATCATGAATTATGTGAGGAAGAGCAAATTATTGTATGTGTCATGTCACCTTTCCACCGTCTCTCTGACACACCAGTGGCCCCGGAATTACGCAAATCTATCCCTTTCAAAGACCAGACATTTGTTTATTCTGGTATCAAACACTATAGTCTTCAGTCACAGCACTCTGCAACCTTCTTCAAAGCATGAGGATGTGCATGTGTTCCATTAGCTGCAGGGAAACATTTCTGGAAAAGAGCTGGACACAGGCTTTGCTGAATACTAATAAATTCAATGGCTGTATGACAATAACTTGTTATAAAACCCTTGCTGTCTCACAGGAGCGCACTGCACTCATACTGGAACTGTTTGGGGAGCTGCTGCTACCTTGTTGCATGAATCATTAATCAACAGCCTTTAAAACCCACTAAAAGAGGACCCTATCCTCGAGTTACAGAGAATCAGTACGCTGTCCTGGAATTTGCTTGATTGTCTACGGAGGTTTCATCAGTGTTGTTTATTTTCTCCTTTGCCCTTCCTATACCTCAGCTGCTGTAGATGTATGCAAGATGCACCATGTCTGGATTTTTATTACAGACATAATCCCCAGCTCAAACCTAATCCAAATGTAATGAACTCAAATATGGGTTCTATCGTTGAAAATTTCTGACATCAGCAGCAGCAGAGGTCATGGTGGTGGATGATGTGAAAACAGAGTCAATAGGCTAACATACATTTTGAAGACCAGATCATAAAGAACAACGACAGTGCAGTCAAGATGTGACTCCGATACAGACTCTGTTCATTCTCTGCCTGGGGTTAAAGTACTTTTCCAGGGATTGATGTGATGCAGGGTTTTCTCTGCTCTGAAAATCCCTCAAATTATGCTGTCAGGAACTCCAGGTAGAGCAACGCAACGTAGGCAAGTGTGAACAACTTAACTGTGAGTCCACAGTCGCAGTTATTCCTCACTAGCTATTCCTCCAGCACGTCTGGCAGAATCCATGGGTGGTCCACCACTGATAGGAGGACTCCAGCAAACAATCAATGACATTATTGAGAAACCAAAACAAAATCGACAGTTCCAACAGAGGTCTTCAAAGCTGGAGGGCTTCTGCTAACATCAAGATGTCATGCACTCTTCCTAAAGATTTAGGAGGCAAAATAACTGATCATCAGCTTCAAGAGTACAACAACCGAAGTTACCTTTAAAAAGGGAAAGGAGTCATGCCATCAAAACTATCAAGGTATTTCCTTCTTTCACAGCAGGCAAAATTCTGACACATGTTCAGCTGAATCATCTACTTCCTAGGACTGAGGGAATTCTCCCAAAAACACAATGCAGCTTTAAACCAACCAGTTAAAAAATTCCAACATAGATTAGCCTGGCAACAAATACCTAGAAATATTTCAAGAACAACACTGTGAGCTCTTCACTGCATTCATAGATCCAACCAAGGCATTTGGTTTGGTAAATTTCAAGGTTCTGTGGACTTTATCCCTATGTTTTGATGTCCAAGAAACTTCATGACATGCCTGTAACCGTTTCATGATGAATCTATTACAACGGTCTTCAGTGGAAATTCTGAAACCGATGCCTTCTGAATCCAAACTGGGGTCAAGCAAGACTGTGTGATAGCTCTCACAATACCTTACAGTGGCCATTCATCTCAAAGATCAGCCGCCCTTGGTGTCAGTATTAAACTCCATCCAGATGGAAAACACTAACTTCAATTGCTTCTGTAATAAAGCTAAACAGCCAATGTTGGGTGTAAATAATGTACAGTTTGTGGATAACTGCAGTGTTGATGCCCACTTTCAAACTCTTCAATTCTGCATGTAATAAATGCTGCATGCCCTTCAATATTGCCAAACCAATTGTATATTAACCTGTTGTATAAGGTAATGATTCCTGAAAGAGAAAATTTTGAAGCTGCATGAGCACTACCTAACTTAGTGATGTTACACAGTCTTTGGGTGGGGGAAACAGTTAGTCTTGCACAAAGTCCCATTGGAGACAGTCATGACATACCCGGCTCCTGATGGCTGTAATTATGTCAAACTAGTTGATGTTAATAGCAGTGATTGCTATCATGCAATAGACAACACTTTGTTTGTAGGACAAGCACCTGTTCTTGCTAAGACACATCAATGGTCTACCATTTATTACTGATAATTAGGCAGGTTCTTCGACTCAGCACACAAAGAGAACCTGTAGACTGATAGTTAGAGCATGTTGGTGATGACACAAGGTCACCTTCCCATGTTAGCAGGCAAACACTTATTTTACTCTGCTTAAAAGCTGTATTAAGGACAGGTAAGAGTTCTAGCTTCAATATTAACTTTGATGCAACAGTAAGGGTGGCGTGCAGGTGCAGCAGGCAGTGAGGAAAGCTAATGGCATGCTGACCTTCATAGTGAGAGGATTTGAGTATCAGAGTAAGGATGTCTTGCTGCAGTTATACAGGGTCTTGGTGAGACCACACCTTGCGTACTGTGTGCAGTTTTGGGTCCTAGTCCGAGGAAGAGCATTCTTACTATTGATGTAGTCCAGCGAAGATTCACCAGACTGATTTCCAGGATAGCAGGACTGACATAGGAGGAAAGACTGGATTGACTAGGCTTGTACTCGCAGGAATTTAGAAGAATGAGGGGGATCTCATAGAAACAAATAAAATCCTGATGGGACTGGACAGGCTAGATGTAGGAAAAATGTTTCTGAATTTGGAGAAATCCAGATCTAGGGATCACAGTATCAGAATAAGGGGTGAGCCATTCAGGATTGTGATGAGGAAGAATTTCTTCAGAGAGTTGTGAACCCGTGGAATTGTCTCCCGCAGGAAGCTGTTGGGACCAGTTCATTGGATATTTTCAAGAGGGAGCTAAACATGGCCCTTGAGGCTAAAGGGCTCAAGGGGTATACAGAAAAAGTGGGAATGGGAAACTGAGATTGCATGATCAGCCATGATCATACTTTGGGGCCTGTAGTTGTGGCCGAGTGGGCTAAGGCGATGGATTAGAAATCCACTGGGGTTTCACTGCACAGGTTTGTATCCTGTCAACGACATTTTGGGGTGGCATGGTGGCTCAGTGGTTAGCACAGCTGCCTCACAGCACCAGGGACCCAGGTTCGATTCCACCCTCTGGCGACTGACTGTGTGGAGTTTGCACATTCTCCCTGTGTATGCGCGGGTTTCCTCCCACAGTCCAAAGATGTGCAGGCTAGGTGGATTGGCTATTCTAAATTGTCCATAGTGTTTAGGGTGGGTTGGGGTGGGATGCCCTTTGGAGGGTCAGTGCGGAGTCGATGGGCCGAATGGCCTGGTTCCACTCTGTAGGGATTCTATGCTTCTATAGCGCAGGCTCAAAGGGCTGGATGGCCTACTCCTGCGCCTGTTTTCTGTGTTACACAGTGATTGGATGACCAAAAACAGTCTTTCCCACCAGGCCTTGTTTTCTCAAATATCAAATGGCCAACTTTCCCAGGTAAGTATGGAAGCATTGACATTGGTGACTGGGAGGAGCTTGCTACAAATCATACAGAATGATGACAATTTGTCCATAAATCTGCACCATAGTTTCAGTCCTAATCTTTTAATGAATGACGTCTTGCCACATGTGCGTTGAGAATTGGCCAGTTCAGGCACCTAAAGACCCAATGACAGATACTTGCAATGCTGAGTAGACGTCTTCCTTAATTCAAGGAACAACTGACGATGGTGAGGGTTAAAACAGCTTAATAATGTTTTACAAGGTACATTTGCTTGAAAACCCTCCATACAACATTATAATCATCTCTCTTTTTGGTTTGAGATAGATACGTTGATCAACCATTTTCTGATCTACAGTTTATGCTGAGCTAACATCCTGAAATAATTTTCCACGGAGTCCTTACATGATGCAGAAAAGAGCTGGAGAATGAATGTAATCACATGGCCCTTGCAAAGAAAGGACACAGGTACGACTCAAAACCCTGACCAGCCCGCCCTGTTCTGGATCAGCGTGATTCTTTTTGAACAGAACATTCTGTCCTGTGAGTTACATAGACTGCAGCAAAGTTGGATGCTAGCAACTAATTTATTGAAAACTTGGTGGATCAGAATATCCAACTGAATTAAACATGACTATTCCCAGTCATCAAGATCAAAACTTCATCCTGTGTATCTAGACCGTGCACCAGGGATAGAATCATGGTTGAAAAGACGACTAAAACACTGTGCGCACGTCTCTGCCTGCTGAGGTATATGGCAAAGCAACGTCTTACCTGACAGTTTCGGCAACAGAGTCCATTACTGCACATTGCATTGTGGGTAAGGGTACACTTCTTGCAGCATTTACCACCGACTTTGTCACATTCCTGCGTGAAATAAGATGAACTCATCGTCAACGTGTATATAATGTCCACTGGTGAATAAAAGTTCTCTCTCAACTACATATTTACCCAAATTCAGACTGATTGTAGATTTATTTTGTTTCTTAAAAGAAGATGTTTAACATGCATGACCTATAAGCCTGATGCAAGCAGCAGAAAATGGTGCTGACAATAATTGTAAGTAAGTTTTATTGAAATTATATAACAAAATTAACCTGGCCAATTGAGACCTTAAGTAAGCTGCACACAAATAGTGTTTGGTTAAAAAAACCATTGTTTACTGTTTTGATTCTACAGACAACAGAGGGCTGATTCTTAGATTAGATATTTTCAGTGAGGAGAGACTGCTGAATTAGAAAATCATGGGCTACATGTGACACTTTGCCTATTTAGATGAGTGAATAGAAAATTGAAGCTGCAGTTCGCCGATAATGTCCAATCCCCATACATTGCTGGGGTAGTGGGGGCAAGGTGTGGAAATCGGGCTGCCATAGTGCACCTTCAAATAAAACCATCCGAATCAATTTCTTGTGAAATTCATGGGTGATGGTCAGTCTAAGTGAATGGGTGATGGTCAGTCCAAGTGAATGGGTGATGGGTACCAACTAGGTGAATTCCCAGTACCCTCAGCAAAAGGGACTCTCATCACAATACTATCCAGGAAGAACATATTGACAGCGGGCAATCAGATCGTTGTAAGCACCCTGGTGTCTCTGGTCTGAAGGTGGTTTCCAGGTTCCTTCACATCTTGAAAATTGCTGATGGAGCAGTAGATGGGCTAAATGTAACCATTCCCACCTAGTTCCATGGTTTCCACTTTGTCTGACTTCTATAACTTGTTCATAATTCCCAACCGTTCCACTACATTAAACAGTACAAAGTGTTCTGTGCTTGTTGTTAAATGTTAACCAACATTTTCTTCATGAAAGTGACAGCATTAGAATCGCAGAGCAGAATCTTTCGGAGGGGATAAAATAGTCAGAAGTGGGAGCACAAACGAGGGGCTCTACTTCTCCGAACAAATGACTGGCCACATATGGTCATGCTGCAGTCAAGCAATTAGGTATTTGTGTGAGGAAACATAGGAAATCATGTGGAGAAGGCAGACAGGAAGTCAATGCCCCCACTGTTACTTCCTGGATGCAGTGGTCTAGGAAGCACATTTCCTGCAAGTCAGGAGCATTATTCTCACTGTCAGAGGAGCTTTTAGGAACTGTAATTGCTGCCAACACCCTCTCCACCTGGATCCCTGGAGCTGGAAGCCATCACCCTCAATGCAACCCCCTTCATTCCCTCCATCTCTCTTGACACTGGCTTTGATCCACCTCCCATCATTTTTGAACTACTGTCATTGGCCCTCGAGCTTCCTCCAGTAGAGTAAAACTGCCCTGCTATTAATCATTGTCAACTTTTCCTTTTTAATTCTCTGCCTTCCCTTGCTAACCCTCGACTCTCAGAAGTTCACCATTTGCCTTCCCTGCATAACTTAAGATTGCCCACAATCACGTTGACATGCCATCCTTAGAGATACATCTTCCCTTTAAGGCTCTAGCTTCCTCTCTGTCTCCAATAAGACACTGTTAGGCAGCCAATTCCTTCCCTTCCTCCCTCAGTTGGCAACTTCTCCTTTCACTGCCTCTAACCAAACTCAGCCATCAATACCTCCCCTTCCCAAAGCTCATCAAAGCAGCTCTGACTTGGCCCACATCCACCAAGAGGTCAATATTTCCTGTTGCAGCCCATGCTTAAGTCAGCATCAATGTGAAGGCACTTGATGGTTACTGAATTAGAAAGGTACACTTAATTCTGGCAGGGTTGACTGAAGTGTATGCATTACATGCAAATATAATAGAGGTTTGTGATGCTTTCTATCAGTAAGCTCAATCTTTGTCAATTTAATACTGTAATTTCATCCTGGCATTGAGAAGCTGATTTTAGCCTCCTGCACAATAAAGTGCCCACCCACCATGTTCCCCAAAATCCCCCCTCCCCCATCACTCCCTAATCTCCCACTTCTGGGAACAGAACCATAGAATAATTACAGGACAAGAACAGGTCATTTAGCTCATCATATCTGCGTCAGCTTTCCAAAAGAACAAATCAGATAGTGCCCATCCTTTCTTCCAAGCCCTGTGAAATTGTAATCTGCCTCACCGTACTGTTACGCAGTCCCTCTACACTTGCATACCTTTATAATTTTATCACTTATTTTACATTGCCTCTCCTCATTTATCTCACCTATTTCAACAGCCTGTCTCCTCTTGAAGTCTACCACAGTTCACATTACCGAAATTGACTCTTCGCATTCAAGTCTAGGTCAATAAGGACATTGAGAAAAACAGTGACCTTAATACCAACCTCACTGTATACCTACCCCGATTTTGAAAAACAACTATTTACCACTACACACTGTTTCCCATCAATCAGTCAATTTCATTTCCAGTCGCTGCTGCCCCTTTTAGTCTATGGGCTTTGACTTTGCTGTAAAGCCAGTTACATGGCACTTGATCAAATATGTTTTGGAAATTCATGTACATTACATCAATGACAATATCCTCCTCAATGCTCTTTGATACCTCATCAAAAAACTCTACCAAGTTAGTTAAATGTGATTTACCTCTAACATATCTGTACTGATTTTGCTTAATCTCTAATTGCCCAAGTGACTCTTAGTTTTGTCACAGATTGTTTTTAAAAACTTTCCCACTGCTGACTTTAAACTGATTTGCCTGTAGTTGTTGGGCTTATGTTTACACTGGATATATAACTTTCACAATTCTCCAGTTCTCTCGCATCCCCATATCCAGAGACAAATTAAAGATTATGTCCAGTGTTTCTTCAATTTCTACTGTTATTTCCTTCAACATATTTGGATGAATCCCATCTGGTCCTGGTGAAACGTCAACTTTAAGTACAATCAGTCTTTCTGACATAAAAACAGAAATTGCTGGAAAAACTCAGCCGGTCTGGTAGCATCTGTGGAGAGAAAGCAGAGTTAACGTTTTGCGTCCAGCGACTCTTCTTCAGAACACAGTTTCTGATTTCCAGCATCTGCAGCTCTTTGGTTTTGTTTTATTTAGTCTTTCAGACAGCTTGTCTATACCAACTTTTAGCGTATTCAGTGCCTCACCATGTCCTCCTTCACTATGATTTTAGCAGCACTGTACTTCTTTAGCTGACAGATGCAAAGCACCCAATTAACATTTTAGCCAAGTCCTCTAATTCCATCTGTAAATCTTCTTTATAGTTTGTATTTAGTCCACTCCTCCTTTTATTGCCCTTTATCAGCCTATGGAAAACCTTTAGATTCCTTTGTTAGTTTCCAGTCTCTTCTCATCTGTTCACTTTGCTCCCATATTACCTTTCTCACTGAACTTTCCAATATTCAACTCTCTTTTACTTTCATTAATAGTGACTAATATATGTCACTATCGGTTGAGTCATCCAAAGAATTTGTTCTTGTGGGAATGCACCCCGAATGCATTCTTTAAGGCCAGCCTTTTCTCCTATTACAGTTTTATAGAGTCATAGAGTCATACAGTACAGAAACAGGCTCTTCAGCCCAACTCATCCATGCTGACCAGGTTTCCTAAACTGTACTAGTTCCATTTGCCTGCATTTGGCCCATATTTCTCTAAAGCTTTCATATCCACATACCTGTCCAAATGTCTTTTACATGTTGTAATTGTACTCATCTCTACCACATTTTCTCTGGCAGTTCATTGCTAACACGCACCACCCTCTGTGTGAAAAGGTTACCCCTCTGGTCCCTCTCAATTCTTTCCCCTTTCACCTTAAACATATGCCCTCTAATTTTGGACTCCCCTACCCTGGGCAAAAGACCTCTGTTATTCACCTTATCTAAGCCCATCATGATTTTATAAACGTCTATACCTCTCTAATCCTCAGTCTCCTACATTCCGGGAAAAGAAGTCTCAGCCTATCCAACCTCTCCTTATAACTCAAACCCTCCAAACCCAGTAACATCCTTGGAAATCTTTTTTGTACCTTTCTAGTTTAATTACATCCTTCATATAGCAGGGTGACCAAAATTGTAAGCAGCATTCCAAATGTTGCCTTACCATTGTCTTGTAAAGTTGTAACATGGTAGCTCAACTCCTGCACCAAATGCTTTGACCAATGGAGGCAAGTGTGCTAAATGCCTTCGTCACCCACCGTTGACCGACGACTTCATTTTCAAGGAACTATGTACCTGCACCTCTAGGTCTCTCCTTTCGACAACACTCCTCGGGGCACTACTATTAACTCTGTCCTGGTTTGTCTTACCAAAATGCAACACCTCGCATTTATCTAAATTAACTCCATCTGCCATTCCTCGGCCCACTGGCCCAGTTGATCAAGATCTCCTTGGAATCTTAGATAATCTTCTTCACTGCCCACTATAGCACCAATTTTGGTGTCATCTGCAAAATTACTAACTATTCCTTCTATATTTTCATCCAAATCATTTATATAAATAATGAACTACAGTGGATCCAGCACTGATCCTTGTGTCACATCACTGCTCACAGGCCTCCAGTCTGAATAACTACCCTCTAACATCACCTTCTGTCTCCGACCGTTAAGCCAACTTTGTATCCAGCTGATATAACACCGTGTGGAGCTGGAGGAACACAGCAGGTCAGGCAGCATCAGAGGAACAGGAAAGCTGATGTTTCGGGTCAGGAAGAAGGGTCCCGACCCGAAACATCAGCTTTCCTGTTCCTCTGATGTTGCCTGGCCTGCTGTGTTCCTCCAGCTCCACACGGTGTTATATC